CAGCCAAAATTAATAAATCATCGATCGATTTAGGGGGTTAAGAATACCCAACCCACCCCTAAATTGATCGTCCAAATTAGTTGAAACAGGTGGATCTTGGGGTAGTTGTAGAAACTGTAGTTCACTTTGCCTGCAACACGTTCAAGAGCAAATGAATATCTTTAAATTGTTGTTTAATTTAACTTCATGCGTATGCCTTCTCTTGCTCCACATTTTACCCTTTGCGGAGGCAGAAACCGATGATAAGGTTACCTAAATTTCTTATTGCTCAATGTTTATGAAGAATTCATGTTAACGTTGACTATTTGACAGCCCTACGAACATGAATATACGGTGTATCATAAGTTAGCAAGTCAACCTGCATATTCGAAGAGAGGTGAACTTCGAGTGATCCCTTCTATGGCTGTTGCCCAATACGTAGACGCTAAGAATGCTTTGTACGTGAATAAGGGTGAAGATGAGATCTATTTTATAAAAATTGTTGATAACGAGAACACGGAACAATCCTATTTGTCGTTTACGAAATTATGTCTGCTATGGGCATCTAAATTTGAAGATGAGATCATAATTCACCTGGATAGTTCGAATAATTTGTATCATTTTGACTACTATACGGCCGTGGACCATTGCAATGGAACCGAAATGGTAATTGACAATTTGCTATATAGTGATTATATATTCTGGACTACGATTAACGATTTAACGATGCATTATAGGATGACGCTCGTTTCAAGACCACAGTACAAACAATTAAATCAATACCTGGACCTCGGTAAGTACCCTCGCCTATACCATCCAATTTTTAAATCTCAATTGAATGCCAAACTGACTCGGCTTTAGTCCTAAATTACATGGACCTGTACCAGTAGCAGAGGATGGAACAGTAATCGGTCCACCCCCAGAGAAGAGCTTTATACAGAAATATTGGTAAGATCAGTCAATACCAGAAGAACAAGAATTGATTACAGAGTCACATATTGACATTTAAATTTTTATAGGGTATACATCCTGCCACTTATTCTTATAATGCTAGTTAATAGCGCACCACCTGAAGAAGGTCGGGAAGGTCAAGGCGGACAATCTGGGCAAGGAGGAAATCGACCTGCGCGTGGATAAAACCTATCCATCAAAGTGGGAAGTGCGTCGTACATATATATACACTTTCATCTCAAAAGTTACTGGCCACCCCCTACATTTGTAGCCAAATGAGTGTTGACATAACAATCACCGCAAAGTTAACACTGAATTTAGCGGCACCTTGTAGGTAATATGTACACAAAAAATTGCAACATTTTAGGTAACAAAGTTACAAATTTACTTAGAGCCGATTTTTCTCTTATGAGAAACGGTAAAATTAGATTATGCAACTCGAATACTTAAAAAATCGGTAAAGATTAATACACACATTCGTAAAGCGCGCTATTACATTTATAACATGTTGCCCGAATATCTTGCTTCTTCATTGAGAAATCAATTAACAATCAAATGCAAATATTGACATAACGAGCAATGCAATTTAATACCGAAGCTAATGCACCTATTGCACAACATATTTACAAGGAATTGTAGTGTGTTAACTAGTAAGAACAAAATTATATATAACACCCTTTGTGTTACCGAAAAAGCTAACGCGTTTAAAAAATCAATCCCATAACAAATCCATATTCATTCGAAGCGCAAAAACCCTATTATCGAAGACAAAAAACTTTGATCGTTTATTACTCATTATGACAACACTCATTTAACTGCGAATGTAGTGACTTTTGAGACGAAAGTTTATATATAGAGAGAGTAAATAAATTGCTTAGGAACATAGTAAGCCGATAAGTCGTATTGCTGATCTGATTGGACTGTGGACTTTAAACAGGTACCTACTTCAAACCCATTGACATCATACAGTAACACACTATCTTCTGATTGGTCTGTGTTAATACGCGTTCAATATACAGTTGACAAGTTGTACTCGACATGTCAGAGGAAAAATAATCATTTACTCAATTGCAGAAATGATTTACAAGAATTTGGTCACGTTATGCATAAATTCTAGTGTGAATGTCAGCAGTTTACGACAAAAGCGCATTCTTCCAATAACCTACGAGAAACTAGTCAAAATTTAGAGTCGCCTGAATACAAGTTTTCCCCTGGTAGAACGCCTTTATTACGTCTTGTCATATACTACCAATGTACTTCTTCCATCTGTTGTACATCAAAATTCTCAACACGGGGGAGGGTGTTCGTGAAATCAAGATAAACTTCCAACTCAGAGTTTATTTGATGATTATTCGTTTCGATACAAAATATCATAGTGACCTGGCCTATATAACAAAACTAAAGGTTTCAACGGAACAGTCGGTACACCATCGTCTTCTTCCGGTTCAGGATAAAACTCATGGAAGTTAACTTCTTCTAATGCCTCTGATCCGCTCAAATATGCGATTTCCACAGGAACTCGCAATGCCCGAGTCAACACCGTAACGTGAATATGGTCAGCTTCTTTGTCCATAACCTCCACAAATGTCCCACAGTATTGATCCATGTCCATATCTACTTCTAGAAATGGTTCAAACTCGTCCCTATTCTTTTTCAAAAATGCAGAGGTAACAGCTCTAAAGTACCATACGAGGGAATTAGTGGTCATGCCGACCTGAAACGCGGACCATAGCGACTCATCGTCCGTATTTCCCTTCGCAATCGATTGCAAAAGTTGGTAAACTCCATCATAGAAATCCTCGATAACCTCCTGTTGGAACGATGCCGAGAGTAGAAGGCGATAAGTCGACTTAACCGTGTCAATTGCCTTTTGTATAAGATGATGACTTTTGGAATGGAGAAGCCGTTCAAACCAAGCAAAAACCAATGCTATGAACGGATGAGATCACGTGCTTAACATCTTTGTCAATATGTAGTAGCATTCTGTGAATATTTATAATGAATGTGCAAATCTTTCCACTGTAAGATAAATTACCTCGGTAGAAACAATTTCCGTCACCACGACAGCGCCTGATCTTACCATGTTTCTCAGCCAGTTTCTACGAATACCACAGAGTAAGATCGGTGGTCTGTCGACTAATCTGCAATTACAATAAAAACATACGAACTTGTATCTTCTGACGATAAGATTCGCTTCCATGTTCGTATTCCCTCATCAATTCTTCAATGCTCTCTAGCCGACCGACAAACGGATTCTTTTCCGCTTCGCGCTTCATTACAGATTGCTCAAAAGACCAATTATCTTCATAGGTAGAATTTTGTATAAGAGCGAAGTCAGTCTGCGGAGCAGCAAGCGAAAACTCATCGGTTTCATGATTATTGAAGTCGCCAGAGGGGACCGGAGTGTTATACGACGCATTGGGAACTCCAAAAGGCTCGCTGAAAGATCCATTTAACGTGGCAGAACCCTGTTTATGAGTATACTGAGTTTGCGGAGCAGCGGATGAGAACTCGTCGGTTTCATAATTATTGAACTCGCCAGAATGGGCCGGAGTGCTATCCTGCGATTCGTGGGAAATTCCAAAAGAATCGTTGAAAGATCCATTAGAACCCTGTCTATGAGTGTACTGAGTTTGCGGAGCAGTTGACGAAAACTCATGACTATTAAACTCGCCAGAATGAGCCGGAGTGCTATACTGCGATTCACTGGAAACTCCAAAAGTTGAAGATCCATTTAACGTGGCAGAACCTTGATTATGAGTATACTGAGTTTGCGGAGCAGCGGGCGAAAACTCGTCGGTTTCATGATTATTGAACTCGCCAGAGTGGGCCGGAGTGCTATACCGTGATTCACTGGAAACTCCAAAAAGCTCGTTGAAAGATCTATTTAACGTATTTGAATCAGTTTCATCTTCAAATGGTGTGGAGACCTCGATTTGGTCCGCAGTAGCCTCGTCTGCCATTTGTCTGTTACTCCTGACCCTTTCCTCCATTTCCGGCCTGCCTGAGAACCTTTCGTTATAGTTCATCATCTCTGCTCGCTCTGCTTCCGATAAGAATGGATCATCTGTTCCTTCTGGGGGACCGCCACCCATGGTCTTGTCAATATAAGACTGTCAGTGAGAAAAGTGCATCTCTTTAATTGGAGCATGCTGCAACAAAAGCTGGACAAAGTGGTGAACGTAGCGCCACAGACTATTTTCAGGGTCAAGCGCCACAGATTTGTCCTACCCAATTTAATAGTTTAAGATACTTTGTAGATAAGAGTATGACGAATTCATTTGTTATTGAACAAGGAGCGTTTCGTTTGTGAGTCAAGTAGCCTTTTTCAAGTCTCCAGCTTCTCAACATATGAATTCTCAATAATGCAATTCATATTAAAGATAAATTCCAAATTAAACCGCGACTGTTGAATGTTGACAACCCAAGTGTCTGCGCGTCAAATTAAAATGTGCGGTTAGATGAGAAAAACGGCTTTACTGCGTTTATTTAACAAAAAAAGATGTTAACAACCTTAAAAATAAATGGAATGGATTTAAAATGACCAGATTCTCACTCGAACATCGTTCATGGAACCCTTTCTATAAATGTAATAAAAAATAAATGTCTGCAATGTACTCTAAAGAATTATGTAAAACAAATTGTTAAAACTAAAATTGCGTGACAGTCTGTTTCTTCTTAATGAGGAATTTCAAAGTTTCAATTACATTTTCGACGACATTTGACTGTCATACGGCCGATTCAGAATTTCCGAAATACTTAATTGCTGATTAGTATGTTTTGGATCGTCCTCTGACACTTTCCAACTTGTATTATTAAGTTTATTGTTTTATTATTTTAATCATTGTTTTCTTATTATATTTAGTTTCATTTTTAAACGTTTCGGACTTAGATTTCGGTAGAGCTGCGAAATGACCATCATCCCCGAACTACTACTTCAGAAATCACTTGATATCAGATCGCTGTCATCTCTCCTTTACTAGCGTTGGGCGATTCTTGAGATATTCAAACTTTGTCATCAGTTTGTTTTTCGGCTCTTTCGCTCCCAGCTCTAGACTACTATAGGGTCATCTTTATTGATATAAAAATACATATGACGAAGTCTAGTGATCATTTCGTTGTACAGGAACTTCGGCAGATTGTAAATGGTAACTAGAAGTTCTTAGGCCTAGAATACTTGAATAACACGCAAGTAAAACCTAATGTACTCGCAAAGATTATACCAAATGAGATAAACGCCTCTGTATTCGAAATTTTTACTTCATTATTATTATCAGTAAAGCAGATAGATATTAGTTGTAAAATATACGCAAAGTATTCGAAGTAACCACGACAATCATCGCGATCCAACAACAAATTGCCTATGAAAATCAATGTACTAACAATGAAGCTAACTAAAGAAAGCCAGCGTTGTGCTTCATTGTGACTATAACGGAAAAATATAACTAAGGCTGATAAATGGAACAATGACCGAAGGCCAAAATAAATGTATTTGTTTGGAACACCGTAAAACTTGCTGCAGTATTTGTCTTGAGTCGCAATACATATAATACGTCCCAACGTAGATAGTTCATAAATTGCCATGACACAGTACAGTATCACACTGATTATAAGACTCTGTGGACATAATGAAAAGGCAACCAGGGGACCGTATTGCAAATACCGACTGAATTCATAGAGGATGACAAATGCAATAAATATAAACCGCAATACAGAGACCAAGCAAGCACGTGCGCGACCAGTAGTGTCAACTTTAACGTCGTCTGAGTCAACGGTGCCGTTTACGTTGTCTTGATTGTCTGAATTTGCCTTAAAAAAGACATAATAAAGGAGTGTGTATATGAATATTGACACAAATATAGAAGTTATAACGGTAAAAATCTTGAAAGCGAGTAGAGATCCAAGAAAGATCGAATCGTTTTCGTTTGATGCGCCCGTTTCACTAGGGGTTGCAGACGCATTCGTTTGGGTAAGGGTTTCAGAAGAATCGGGTTGACCAGATATCTCAGATGTGAAAACGCTTGTTGGTAACGATAGGATAACATATAAGCTACTATGCGTCACAAAATTTGACCAAAACTGATATTTGTCCATGTGGATTTAGAAGTATGTTCCGATGGAAAAGACAGTTGAAAGGTACGAAAGGTCAATCATCAGCCTATATTAATATATATGTGTGTTTGACGTTTATATTGTAACGCAAATTACACAGACAAATAAAACAACGCGCCTTTAACCATTATTACTGGTGTACATTCAAACATTTGATTGAAACACGAAAAAATAATGTAGTCTCTTGTGACATATCAGCATCACCAGTATTCCAATTGACTTGTGGAAAGCTACAAGAAGAAGGGGTTAAATGTCGTGCGACACAAAGATTTTAAAAATGTCCGGATTTGATTGTTAAATACCCACTGGTAATTTTCAGGACATTATGAACCATTCTCCTCTTATTTATTTGTATTATAGGGTCCGGGTCACTTGCCCCGACAGTTATTTGCCCGACAGTTATTTGCCCGACAGTTACCGTAGAGCGCTGACTAAAGTACCCCGGGTATTTTACATTTCACATTTTTTGAGGGGTACTTTACTCGGTGGGTACTTTGGTACACCCATGGTAATACATTGACAGCCCCCTAGTGTTTATG